GGGGGGGGGGGGGGGGGGGGTGACAGGCAACTTCAGACGATCACATCGCACAAGCACATTATCCGACCACGCCGGCTGACTCACGCATCGGGCACTCCCTCGGGCGTCTCCGTCTCTTGCGGCGGCTGTTCCTCCGCATGCGGCGCATCCTCAAGTTCCGTTTCGGTAACCTCGGGAACCTCGGCCGCCTTCTCGCTCTCCTCCTCCTCCTCCTCCTCCACCTCCTCGGCGATCTCAAGCGTGGTAGTGGTAGACCAAGTCGAGCCATCGTGACCGCTCTTGGGCTGCGGGGTATTGTTGGTCGTAGATGTGCCGCCGAGATTCTTTAGCTCCTCCTGCGCACGCGCATGGGGAAGAGCCGCACAACAGAACACGGGGCAGGATTTACTCGATAATCGATGTGGTCAGTGCCAGAACTACACCAGCATCCCTTAGGTATACTAGTAGAAATATCAAGCGGTCTCATACATCCGAAACAACGGCAGTAGCTGCAGCAGAAGAAGTGTTTTCCTGTCGAATATGCATACATGCAGCGTAAGTGCTGTATATAATAGTACAGGTGTAGTCAGGTTTAATCAGACAGCTCTCAATGGTGAGCGTCCTAACTACTGGTGATCGAGGGGTGCCGTCTCTCATGGACTGCTGCAGGCCGGGACTGTCGATGTTGTTGCGACCGCTCCGTTGTACCACGCTTGTGCGCGGGATGTCCTCCAGCGCGTTGAGAGGCCGTTTTGTCTTGGGGGCCGACCGGTTCTTTGGGGTCCCGAGAAGAGGTCGATCGAGGAGATACAGATGTGGCAGGAGAGAGCGGCCGCCAGAAGACTTAGTCCTCTGGAGCCGCAGCCGCCGCCAACCTTGTAGTTCTTACAGCATTGGAAGCTCGGTCACGGCGAGTACCACGCCCAACACCAGAGAACGCTACGCTATTTACAAGTGGTGGGCGTAGGACTGACCGCAGCCGGGATTCCACCGGTGCAAGAACTACTAGCGGCTCTCCTGACACCTCTCCTCGATGGACCTCGCGGGACCCCAAAGAACCGGTCGGGCGGGGCTCGGGGTCAAATCGTCCAACCTCGCGGGACGTGAGGGCATCTCGAGCACAAGCGTGGTACCACGGAGCAGACGCAACAACACCGGTATTCCCAGCCTGCAGCAGCCCATGAGAGATGTCCAACCTCTTCTCCAGTAAGGAATCTCGCCACTAGGGAGCCGTGTGCTGAACCTGACCACTACCGCAAGAGGCGGAGAGATGGCACCCCGCCTAGACCGATTTTTAAAACCCGATTGCTCCACAACCAAGATTGTCTGTACCGTACCGTATACCGTACCGTGGCATTCCGTAAGAGGCGGAGAGATGGCACCCCCCCTAGACCGATTTTCAAAGCTCGATTGCCCCACAACGAACATTGTTCCAATATAAAAAAAGATGGTTGTTGGAAACATCTCGTTGGGGGCTTTCCGTACACGTATGGGGCTCTTTCCGCTCCCACTTGGACGTGGAGCAACCGAGCTTTGAAAGTGGGTATAGGGAACGCGGGCCATCTCTCCGCCTCTTACGGTACACCGACGGCTGTCTTGTGGACTTCGAACCAGAGGAGGACTGGCAAGTCGTTATCCCGCTTACTTACTCAGGTAGCAGCCCAGTCCAACACAATGCACTCTTTTCTCCACAACGGCTTGACAATCTCATCCAGTGGCCCAAAAAATCAGCTCTCGAAGAGCAAGCAGGCTTGGGCCGAGGAATCATGCATCATAACTAACCCCTAAACCTTGCATACTTTCGTCAGTACGGAAATAATAGGAAGGCTGCGGCAGTCAACGGCCAAGGCTACGGCGGTGTGGTGATGCGGCGCTTATTTGGGAATCTTTCTCCTGTTTCGGGATTTGAGTACAAGCATCTGAACAATAGTTCTGGGCAAGTTAATACATATTTTTAGATCTCTGCAACTCCCGCGGATTATTATTGTCAAACAGGGAATGAATATAGCCATACAAAGGGTCCCCCCCCTGCAAGGAGCGGCCCGCGCCCCTTCTGTTCAGTCTATCCGAAGCAGAAGTCAGCAAGTGTGCTGCTGTATCAGGAGATAATCAAGAGAAGAATAAACTTGCCCGAAACTACCGTTCGTTCAGATCCTTGTACTCAAATCCCGGAACTCCGTCTATATTCCATCTCGAGCAACTAACTGCTGCAGGGACTTCGGCGGCCACCAGCAAGTTGTTGTTGTTGTTGTTGTTGTTTTCTTCACATTAGACTCGTGTCAGTTGCTAATCCCAAAATCTAGCAAAGACTCGGCCCGTGGTCACAAAAATTAAGGAATAATAAAAAACACACACAGAAAGACTACCCAATCGAGATATACCCACAGTCGAACGGGATGTGGTGCTAGAGCCATCAGAAGATCTAAAGAACACGCACACTAAGTGGAAATTGATGGAACAAACGTCACTGCACCACGACGCTTGCTGCCATCACGCTTGCATGCCGGTGTGCAGTGAAAGCGGCATAATACTGGTAATAATCAGATTTCTGATGTACACTGCGAACAGAATATAGTCTACTCGAGTAGTCTACAGCTAGCTGTGGTCGCAGTGTGTCAAATATCATGTCTTTTGTTCTTTTACAGGGTACACCTCGGGAAAATTCCCGCCGTTTTTCCTGCATGCCAGCCACCCGCATGCATAAACTTTTGTCCTGCCGCTCTCCGCTGGAAACAGAGGGTATCATGGAGCACGGTTTGTGGTGGCGAGAAGTCGCTTCTACGGAGTATCATATATGGATTGAAATGAGTTTTAAACTTAGGGCGTCGAGTGAGGCACAACTCTGCACCCTGCTGTCGGCGGGCGGAGGTTCTTTCACTCAACACTGTGTGCGACACAAGCCGGTTCCATCACGAATGGAATGTTCCGCCTGCCCACTCTCATGATCGCAAATTACGGATACGTTCACCATATTGGCCGCCAACGGCCGTCCTCCAGGGGTAGCCACGTGTTTTGCGAGATAAGAGCTATAGCGCTATAGCTGCATATGAATACATTGCTGTAGATGCGTGCCGCTGGCAGGAAGCTCCCAAAAACGACGTGAAGTTGAACATGGATTTTCAAGAGAAACGTTCGTCCGTAGAGCCTGCGGGTGCTTGTAAGTTGATAATATACGGCCACGGGCTTTCACGTACAAGACAGATGGATGAAACAACGTTGAAGCACAGCAAAAGCTTGTAGTGCCACTGCCGCATAGCAGCAGCAGCAGCGGCAGCTTCGCCCCGTGTGCAACTGCTGTAGACCATGAACAAAAAATCAAGGTTTTCTCCAAAAGGACAGCACACAAGACAGACGGAGCCCTTGAGGGAAACTCTGGCTTGTCGCAGAGGAAGCGCCCACAGCGGCGACATGTTGCTGATGACACAGCGAGGCATCAACGCCTACAACACTGCAACACGGGTGGGTCAAGAGAGATAACCTAACTTGAACCTTGTCTTTACCCCCCGGGGTGCTTGCTGTGCGTGTGCCGCCAGGGAAAAAAGCAATGCGAAAAAAGTGAGAAATCTACTTCTTCGAACATCATATTTAGTGCCGAGAGACGAAGAGATGATGATCCGGAAAGTACGTCCCGCACCCAACTGAAGTGAGTGTCCAGCGCCCACACCAGGCGCCCCGCTGTCAACGAGAACTACGGAGCCCGGCTAGCACCACATCAACCGCCAGCACTCGACACACTGCTGCTGTGCGCCACATCCCTTTGCAACATGATGCATAAATCGAGCAAGAAAGCTCGGGATCTACACCAGTAGACAGCAGTGATCTGTATCCGCCTGCCTGGTGTCTGTTGCTGCGGTAACACACCTTGGCGAGGTGGGGCGTGATGCTTCCCCTCTGAATAACCTCATCTTCATCAGCTGCCTGGTCCTGAATGCTCCAGAGGCGAAAGCAGCAAACCATCTTGCTCTGTAGTTGCCTTGTAGATAGAGAGCAGGTCGTTGAGTGAGTTGTTAGTTGATGTCGTGCACCTGTTTTTTTTTTTTTCTCCCTTGGGAACCACCAAACAAAATGGTCTTATTCCGAGCCAAGCACGGGCGGGTTGATGATTTTTTCTCCCGCAGACGGAAGAAAGAGAGCCTCTTACAGATCGCACGACAGAGAGAAGCGCAAAGCAGCAGTGTTCCTCCTGCCCCCCTCTGTGCAGTCAGCCCGTCCGTGTAGTATCCAATTTCAGGGGCTACGGACCCTTCAGAATTATTATTGTTGACACCTCGTGAGAAAAGTCTACACGCACACACAAAAGCAAGCACACGCCTCGTCCTCGAACCGACCTCCTGCCTGTATTATGGACGCACATACATGAATAATCTACACATCATACACCGGGTGCATGTGGCAGCGCTACAAAGTAGTACGTAGTAGAGCCAGCAGCAGCAGCAGCAGCAGCAGCAGCTAGCAGCATGGGCACAACGCTCATACCGCGGAGCAAGTGTGCGGCAGGTGAAGATGTTTATCCATCCCTCGAAACTTTCGTTTTCAATCCTACGGAAGCCACACAATGATGTCCGTCGGATCTGACACATCGTCCGAAAGTTAACCTTCACTTTGACACTGCTCTCAGGCGTCATCGTCTTCGCACTACCTACCGTGCTTTCCCAATCGCATTTGATACGATTGGTCGCGCGCGCGTTCGTCTGTGCCTACTACTGTCAACTTGTATGTTATCGGGGGCGGTATGTGTGTGGTGCCGGAGTAATGATATCATAATCATCAAGTGTCATGATTTTGTAGACGGAGAGAGCTGTTTAGAGGATTTGCGCCACAGACGAGCTCTGGAGCTGTCGTTTTATCCCTGGTGGATCGTATCTATCGTGAGGACGACGGGTACAAACGAACAAATCGCTGAATAATCATTCGATGAATCGAGAGGTTGAGGTGCGCACCGCACACAGCCAACCCCCAAACACACACCATTCGAATGAAGCAATGGTGCGTAAATTGAACTCGTGAGCTCCTCCAACACTTTCCCAATCCCACGCGATAGACGGCCGGTAGTATCCACGCAGCAGGGTAGACAGCCCCCCCCCCCCGCCGTCTCTTCAGCCTACGCCTTACGCGCGACCTAACCACGGCAGCACGACATTGTTGAATGAAACAACGAACGGTCGTGTGATGGTGGTTTACATGATTGATTGAACATGGGAAGGTTGCCCTTGAACGGGCAGTCTCGATCGCCTTACGTACGTCACCAAAGTTTGTTG